TAATCCAGGTTAAAAATTGGTAAAATCGGTAATATTTCAAGAATTCGTAAACAATCATCGAATTGTTTGAAGCGGTAGAATCGAGAGCGTCGAGTACCCATCGCTAGCACCGTGGCGGGTTCTTTGGCGTCATCCACGCAATACTCGTAAATCTAGACAAACAGTTGGAATGATTTATCGCCACTCCACTGAACTTGCTTTTTCGCCGGCGATTTTGCTCGTAATTGTTTATATTTGTATTCGCAGCGTATTCCTATCAGATCGTTCTTTTGCGACAAACTGTTACGGTCCACGATATTCCCGCGTTATTATCACGAACCTTCATGAATTAAATATAGACGCATATATATGCACGCAGCGAGCTACGAAACATGGCTGCATTGTCTTGTTCAGCTTTAATATACTCAATGATATACGACTATCATGTAATCGATTGTCGCGTCGCACACTGATTGTCTCCATTCGTTTCTGTTTCGCCCATCGCGATCGCTTTTCGACTTCTCTTTCTCCTTTGATGCCTCTCTACTGTTTTTAACAATGCACCATTTTCGTCGTTCGAGTTTTAACGGTGTGACCGGAATCTGTAGCAAGACAGGTCTGCAAAGAATTCGAACGTGGGAGCAGCGGAAGCTTCGTACGAAATGCCTCAAAGCTTGAAGCGTAGGAATCTTAACTATACGCTGGTTTAAGAGGATGGTTTTAAATCAGATCGACGCGGATTGGTTTCACATTTCTCAATTAGCGATGATCAAGTAACAATAGCTGCCGTGACCGATACACTCGCACGCACGGACAATAAATATTTTTCCGGACTATGGTCTTTGGCATTCTAATCAACGATGACGTTGTCGAACTTTGATGCACTTGAGAATCCACGTGGCGATGCGTCAGTTCTGCTTGCAACTACAGGACTCGATAACGATTCTTCCAGTGTATTTACATTTTTGTGACAGTTCGTCCACTTCTCTTTGTTTCTCGATGAGTTGGATAATCAAGTAAGATGCAGGAGAAACAATTGCGTTAACAATTCAAATAAAATACGTCAAAAATTCATAAAGGCTGTGTTGTTTAATTATTAATTGTCTGATTGTAATTTAGAATTTTTGGCTTTATAGGATTTGAAAATTTAGACTTTTAATTATTTTTATATTTTTACGTTTTATTGAAATTTTTAGGAATTGTATATAAATAGTATTAGGGGTTTTTACTGTAAAAATTGGTGAACCGGTTCCTTTGCATAAATTTCACAGAATTAACATATATCGTGTTTTACTCCTGGTCCATGTGACTTATAAATTATAAATATTCTTGTGGGATATTTTTCATTTTGTGTTTTTTCGTATCGCCAGACAATCTACCAGGCGACGCTGAAGTTAAACCAATAGTGACGTTGGCTACATTTCAGCTTCCATGATTTTTCAACTGACAAAATAGTTCTTATTTTTATTTGAATTTATTCTTTTGTACAAAGTTGAATAGTGCTGCCTTTTTGATTTAGTTTTCGAAGGATCGAATAACAGGAAAAGTATCGATCCGTTCTCATGAATTTGTTATCTTTGGTATAGTGATTTCATAACATTCTCTTTTGTTTCCCGGTCGCTACCATTTAAGCAGAGTGAATTGTACTTATCATTTTTATCTCTCTTTTATCCTTAAACAGACGCCTTCGCAAAATACGATGTCGCCCATAATTCAGCAATTTGAACGCTGTTATAATTGTTTTTGTACAAGTGACACTAATACTCGTAAAATGAACTAAAAATTTACCCACCGTTATCTAAAAATTTATCAGAAAAGCACACAAGAATTTTAAAATTGTATCTTGCAAAATTTTTAAATATCCATTATTCGCTACTTGACATGAGTATTTAATTATGAAAATATTTTTTTATTCGCAGGAAAGAAAATCTGTTAGTAATTATTCACGTACACTGTTATATCGCTCGCGGAGTAAAATTCGACCTTATAAATTTCAAGTGCACCGGACACTGTTTGATAAGGATTTGATTTACGATCTCGCTATACCGTAACGGAAAATATACGATATTTTTTTCAAGTCTTCGTTCCTTCGAATTATTCAAAATCGTGATGAATTATTTGCTTGAGAAATATTTGCAGAGATCTTCGAATGTTATGTCTTTTGTGACAATTGGTATTTCTTTAGGATTGTACATAGCGATAAATTGTTCAGTTTCGTGTGTTTGCACAATTATCGGCACGTTTCTCGATGATAAGCACGATCTATTTTTTATTCTCCTTATGAAAGGTATTTGGTGTATTACCTTGCACTAAAAGTTATTAATATGCAATAATTTCCCTTTTGAATAAATCAAATTTACATTTCTCTAGTTACTCAATTTTTGTCATTGAATCATTTCACTGCTTCAGTATTTCATTTTTTTAATTTTGAAAAATTCTAGATTTTCAGAATCTTTAAAACTTCAAGATTCGAACAAGAATTTTCTTTGAGAAGTTTGAAGATTTAATGTTTGAGGTGATTTTGTTTGTTCATCCTCGGAGTGGTTTCGAACCCATCGCTACGCGTTAGTTTCATGAATTAATCGGCTCGATTAGTTATTAATTTGAAATGGAGGCGTGACCGTAAAAACGTAGAATAAACTCGATTCGTCCAAAACGAATTCGCAGAACGTACCGTTTCCTTACATAACCGACCCGCCTAATTTATTCTCTCATCAACTACGTCTTTTCGGCCGAAACAAAATTTCGCTTAATCAAATGACTCATTTCGATCGGAATTCGTCAACAACTCAAGCAGTGGGTCAGATAAATGATCCTCTAACATATTTGAGTCACATGGCGAAATCGCAAGATTCTTCTGTCAAACAAATATTTCAATCTTTAATAAAATTATTTGCAGTTGGTTAACAAGAATTTACAAAATGACATGTACATGTGAGAATGCATGTATTCATTGAATACTAATGACATGTCAATGCGAAAATGTGTATATTATCCAAATGCTAGTTATATGCTATCATAAATTAATTTTTACATTTTTAAGTGACATGCTAAATGTTAGTGTATATAACAATTTTTAGGTCACATGCTAAGATGGGGCAAATACTTTTTATTAAGCAGACTGAATTATTTAGAATTATTTTAGTTAATGAGTAACATTGCTGAAGAGTATATCTTGTGATGTCTAGATACAAGTGAAATGTCACTCCAAAGTGGTGATATGATATTATTTTAACATTGTATATTTAAAGTATTGTATTCGTCTATTTTAACACCATTTATGATAATAGTTTTACATGCTGGCTGATATTTCAGTTTGACACTTTAACATGCTAGTTAAAATGTAAATCGACTTCCAAGCAGAATATCGAGAAATTTTCATGGAAAAAATTGATATATGATCTAGATATAAAGAACATGTCATCTAAAATAATACGTATCGTCATAGTTTGACATACTGTGGTTGTAGTATCAATTATATTTATGATATGCTGTAATTATAAGTGACATGTCATTTTAAATGTTAGCCAATTTAAACTAGTATGAAGTGCAATATCGATGTGAAAACGCAAACACTTGCATGTCAGTAACGTATCTACCAAAAAATGTACCTAGTTTAATAATGTTTAATTTTAATATTTTGTACCGACATGTCATAGTTGCATATTAATGACATACTATTCAAAGTGTCGTTCACAAGTGATATGCTGCAGTCAGATAATGATTTACTGTGAATTGAAAATTCACTCTCAAATGCAATATCGTGACATGTCCGTATAAAAGTTGAATATCACCCAAACATTAGCGTATGTCACTAAAAATATCAATCTACTTTTAATGTTGTCGAGTGACATGTTAAAATCAGATATCAAGATTGTTGTTCCAAGTGAAAATTGAATATCACACAAATACCAGTGCATGTCACTGAAAATATTAATCTATTTTTAATATTTTCGAGTGACATGCTGAAATTGGATGTCAAAACTTGCTGCTCGAAGTGTAAATCGTTTCCCATCGTGGCATATCCTTGTAGGAACTTGAATGTCACTCGTATACCAGTGCATGTCACTAAAAATATCAATCTATTTTTAATATTTTCGAGTGACATGCTGAAATTGGATGTCAAAACTTGGTGCTCGAAGTGTAAATCGTTTCCCATCGTGGCATATCCTTATAGGAGCTTGAATGTCACTCGTGTACCAGTGCATGTCACTGAAAATATTAAATTTACTATAACAATTTCGAGTGACACGCTATTATATTAGTAATAGCTATAATATTAGTACTTGTTACACGAAGTGTAAATCGACTCCCAATATCATAGCATATCATAGCAATATCATAGCATATCCCTACAAAAACTTAAATATCACCCATATCAGTGCATGTCACTGACATTATCGATCTACTCTAACATTTTCGTGCAATACGCTGCAATCAGACATCGACAACATGACGCCAAAATCGGAAATCAAGTCCAAAGTGTAACATCGTTGCATATAAAAACTTGAAAGTCTCCCACGTGTCAGTGCATGTCACCGAAAACGTTACCGTATCTCCGCACTGGTTGCGATTATAAAACTTTGGAGTGACATGTTGTATTTAAACGTCGTCGGCATGTCACTCAAAGCGATAGTCGTGTCAAATCATTCGAAGCACACGGAAAAAGTCAGAAGATCCTCAAAGGCGACGAAAACGTTTTCTCGTCGGTGTCCAACGACCGACTCCCGATATCTTTGCTGTGACGTTCCAGCGAATCACTTGCACGACATTACGTAATGGTTGACAAGTGTCGCGAATTTCCACGACACCATGGTTCCAGACACCGTGCACAGAGACGTTGTTCGTGGATCCAGGAAGCGAACCGGTCGTTCGAAACTAGAAGAGATCTTTGTCATAGGTCCTTGATCGAAAATGGATTTTCTTAACGAAACTCCACGTTTGTCTCCCCGGATGCAGATGACATGTCTCTGTGTGGATTCTACGAAGCCCGGAGTGGGGGATATTGGTGCCTCGTGGCCTACCCTATATAAGGTTTGCGCTCTCCCATCGTTACTTGGTTGTTCCCCAATTCGGGCAACTTCTCCGAGACTTGGCAAACCGCACACCGTAAGTCCACGACGTTTTTTTTTTCTTATTGTATCTTAACCTAACATTTCTATTCTATATATTAATATTTGAACGAGTTTAAGGGCTCTCACGCGAGCGTCTGGTTCGTTTTATTGCATTTGACGTTACGGCGATATGGATATATTCGAGCCTAATTGAGTGAGTCAGAAAGTACGCAAGTTTCCAAGCAATTCGTGCATATTCGATGTTAGAATCACTTTCCCATGTCTCTTTTAAAAGCTATGAGGTCTTGCAGAACTTAAATTTCTCGTATTTTTGAAAGAGTTGAAGTTTGTAACCATAGCATTTAACAGATCTTGAAATCCTTGATTTTTTGAAGTTATGAAGCTTTGATGCCACAGAATTTGAGGTTTTGCATCTAAGTTTCGAATCGGAGACGATTTCGAAATTCCTGAATCTCTTTAAAGTTTTAAACATTGAAGGCTTTAAAGTCTATTCAAATTTCTGTATTCATAAAAATCGAAAAACCGTAAGGCCAGAAAATCTTAAATTCTTGAACCTGTAAAGTCTTAGAGCCTCATAAATTTCCCAAATTCTCAAAAATCTTAAAACATTAGCCATTTAAAAATCTCTAAAAACATTGAATTTCTTGAAAACCTTGATGCCATAAAATCACGAAGTTTTTCAGCTATGAAACTTTAAAACTTAACAAATTTTATAATCTTCACGTGTCAATGTCTATAAGACTCGAGTTCCTTAAAGTTTGAGGCACTGAAATGTTTCAAAACGTTGGAACAGTAAAGTATATCAAACCTCAAACTCTTGCAAGTTTGAGGCCGTGTGGTTCTAGGAATGGTCAAATATCTCGAGACTTTGAGGCATTAAAAACTTGTGGCATTAATAAGATTTCAACTTTAGTTTAAAGTTTAAAGTTTTGAATAAGATTCAAGTTGTGAAACCTTACTAATTTGAAGCACCAGTCATAAATTCTTGAGGCCGCGGGATCTCAAACCTTTACAACCTTAACGCCGTTTACTTTTAACAACCGTAAGTCTTTAAAGAAACTTCAAAGTTCTAAAACTTTGAAGCCTTAAACTTTGAGAATCTGGAAAGTTTGAAGGTTTGGAGAATGTGGAGACTTTGAAGCTGTGAAGCGTTTAAACTTCAAAACCTCGAAGCCTCACAGTTTTGAAAATTAAAAGTCTTCAAGTCTTGCAATGTTGAAATTTCTAAAATATGAAGTTTTAAAGGTTTGAAACCTTAAAGCCTTGAAACTTTGAAGCTCTAAAGCCTTAAAGTTTTGAAGCTTTAAAATCTTAAAACCTTCGAATCTTGAAGTTTTCGTGCTTTAAAGTCTGAACCCCTTAAAATCTCAAAATTGTACATCTTTCAAACCTTAAATACTTGAAACCTAGAAGTTTCAAAACCTTGAAACCTCGACATTGTGAAATTTTGAAGCCTCAAACCCTTTGAATTTCGAAATTTTGGTGCCTCAAAGCCTTTACGCCTTGCAATTTTGATGCCTCAAAACGTAAAAACTTTCGACATTTTTGAAACTCTTGTAACAAAGCCACTTTGTTCAATAAAATTCACGTGTTTTTGGAGAAGGAAGTAACGTTGATAATTAGTAATCCATTTATAGCGGGTTGTCGTGTAAGCAAAGAACAATGTAACATTCTAAATGCAGTGTACACAAAGCTGTTCATGGTGTTGACGAGTAATTATACAGTGACAGTAAACTCAATACGTATCTGGCAAACGGTCCGCGTAAAGTCGAAGTAATTAAAGATCCAGGATCGCGAACTAGAACACTGTATTATTCTTGGTCTTCGGGACATAACCGGTTAAAACCACTTTCAAAAAGGTCTGGACACTTTAGCACGTGTTAGATCGCGAGAGGGCCGTGATAATTTCTTCCATCGATTACATCGTGGTTGAAAAAGATTGATGACGTCTGGCTAAATTCGCAACAATCGAGAGTCTCCGTTTCGCTCGAACCTAATTCGAGCTCGAGTAAATTGCCCGTCTGATTAATACAGCATTCATCTTGATTACAATTTATTTGCTTGAGTTTAATAAACAATACGGGAGAAAGTTGACATTGCAAACTTCATTGTTACCGTTTAATTATTAGAATAAGTAGTGTGAATTGGAAGTTAGGATAGGGTAGGTTAGGTTAAGACGTTATTTGTTTAGTTTCAGTCAATAATTTTGTAAAAAAAACAGCTAAGTTAACCAAGATAAGATAGGAATAAGATTATCAAAATTATAACAGATTTAAGTTATGTGTGGAATTAGGTTAGGTTAGGTAAAAATAAGCTACGTTGAGCTGAGTTAGACTGAAAATTGTTAGTTGTATATAATTAACAATTCTGTAGAAAACAATGCAAATATCGAATCAAATTTTTAAACTAGTATGAAGTTATCACTTTAGGTTGACGCTAACCTAAGACCTAACCTCCTAAGTGCATAACATAGTATTTACAAAAGTAATTTATATTATCAAAACCTTTTTATTTCTAGCACATCATTCGTGGAATCAAATTATGTTAGGTTAAAACACGTTTAAGTTTCATAACTGAATGTTTACTAAAGGAATAATTCGTATCATCAGTCCTCTTATTTATAGCACGTCTAAGTTAGGTTAGGTTAGGTTTCATAACGGAACAGTTACCAACGGAATAAATCACGTAATCAAGGTTCCCTTATTTATTGCACCAACTTATTTGCCGAGTTTGAATAAATAATTTTGCAAAGAAGAAATTGCGAAGGTGAATTTTTCCAATATATTTTTCTAAGAATTTCTTCACCGAGGATCACTTTTTCTTCAGGAAATCGCAACAGTGATAAAATTAGCTATTGCACGATAACAATTAAACGTATCAACAGAAGAAGTAACGTAAGAAATTGCGATACTTCTTTCAGCATAAATGGAATAAGCCTTGCCCCAGTGACGTCGAGGTCAGCATATGTGTTTCCATTTTTCATATTGCCTTACGCGAGGAATCGGCCTCAAACGCATTTGGCTTTTATCTTCTCGATTAATGATACATAATAAATTACAAAGTATACTTTTGTGTTTGCTCAACAAACATTTGGAGACAATGAACCGTAATTGAGACAGAAAGTTATCACGCAACAAATTCATCCATACGTTGTTTTCATTGAAAACATTGCGAAATGCCAGTTGACGCCATTTTTTAATGTCGCGTTTCTATGAAACGTACGACGGTTGTAGATTCTGGTAAAAGCGAATTAAAATGTTCTTTGCTGTTTTTTGATAGGAGCCTTCGTTTCCGAGATGTTGGCGAAAGGGTGGCATTTGGAAGCTACGCCATTTTGAATCCTTGGGCGAACGGATTCAATGGCGAGGGTTCATTCATCTTTAACTCAAGCACCATCGCTTTTACTTTTGTATTATCTTTTATATTTTATATTATTACGTATTATATTTTACTTTTGTATTATCTTATTTTTATTTTCTCTTATTAGCATGATCATCTAAGGATTCAAAATGGCGTCTTCTAAAAGTTAACCTTTAATTTCTTGTATCTTGGAAACGGAGGCTCGTATGGGAAAATACTATAAGACTTTTCGATTTGATTTGATCTGGAGAATCTATAACTACCGTGTTAAACTTTTTTAAACGTAGTTTAAAAAATGACGCCTACTTATGCTTCCTCTATGTCGCAATGAATCCTTCATGTCTTAAAAACGAAGCGATTATAATACGGCAAAAACCTTTTCATCTTTGATGTCTTGACTGAAGACATTTTGTCTACAGATTCTGTGATCAATGCTAACAAAATTATTTAATAAAAATAGCAGAACTCTTACTCACTTCTTCGTTAATGTTCATATGGACAATAGAAGATGTTTAGTATGAACCCAAGTCGAATAGTCTGTTCGGTGGTAACTTCAAAAATTCTCTTCCTATATGACATGTTACATATCCTTGTTATTGTAACAACCACAGTTCCATCCCAGGCTAATAATACTTGCATACCAGAAGAATGTTGCAATAACGTTTGCAAATTGCAAATCATTCAAACGAGAATTCAAAGCGTGAAAGGATCACGGGTATTTTTTATCTGGAAAGGCTCACATGATCAAGTAAAGGGGGCATATCCTTTCACGGTCATCGGCAAGCATATCACACAGCGCGACTAGGAAACGCTACTGGAACATTTATACTCAAGTATCTGAACGTGATAGCCAGTGGGAGGTGGCAGGTAGCTTTTAGCGCTTCGATTCCCCAACACTCATTTCATTTCTACGCACCGTCTGTCGCTGGTCAAGCTATTAAATGTTGATTTACAACGCGTACCGGATCAATTGCAGCGTAGATCGCGCGTAAAACAACGAAGACACCGAGCGGAACGGAGAACCGACCCTCCCGGTTACCGAACCGACTGTGCGCCAGTTTTCCAGTGCGTTATCCTTCTCGCTCGAATTGCCCGCCAAAATTCCGTCGGAAAGTGTCCCGCGATACCCGCTTCAATGCTCGAGACTTTGTTGTTCCTCGAGATCTTGAAAGAGTGCCGATACTGTGAAACGGGTAGATGACGTGTTGCAAAAATGCGATTGCGCTGAAGAATTTTTATACGGTATTTTGCATGTTTCTGTGACGTTTGTCACTTGATCTTGTCGTGGTGGGCCACGGTTCCTTGGACTCTCGTTCCGCGGACGTTCTACGTTCGCTCTTGCAGTGAGTAAACCACAACTATGTCTTAATATTCTAAGATTATTAACACAAACATCAGACTACGCAATTTTTAGAGGTTCCTATCAAAATTTGTTAAAACATTTTCACGATCCGGTTCGTACGTTTTACACTTGCCTCACGATACGGTATTTGTACAGTTCGTGATTGTTCTGCGGAACAGTTACACAAACAGTTGCTACCAGCATCAAAAGAAACCAATCATTGCGCGCCTATGTTTTGGAGTTACTTCGATATCGACTATACGTTTCGTTTATTCGAATCAAACTACCCATTTAATGTTTGTTTCTTGTTAATCAATCGTGTACACTTAGAA